TGCTCACCTCGGACCGTGCCCACTCCATTAGGGGTTGAGTACTTCAGGACTTGATGCAGTGTGGAGGGGACGGCCCGAAATGAGTGAATGATGGGTCTCCCGAAGATGGTGTTGTAGGCCGATCTACCGTCGATCACCACGAACTCGGCCATCTGTGTTACTTGGGTAGCATCTTGCCCGATCGTGACCGGCAGGTCAATGCACCCTTCTAGGGAGACCGACTCTCCAGAGAATCCAACCAAGGGCGTTGGACTCTTTTTCAACTGTGACCTGGTCCATCCCAAGGCAAGATATGTTGAGAGGGACAAGATGTTGGCAGATGCGCCTCCATCAACCAGTACTCTTCGGACAAGGACGTGATCGATGAGAGGAGCGATCACGAGTGCGTCATTATGAGGCAAATTGACCCTCTCCAGATCGGCATCGCCGAAAGTGATGGAGCAAGTGGGTTTCTGCTCTATGATGATGCATACCTCGCGCCTGGCCTCGCAAGTTAGCTCTTTCCTTTTGTTTCCGGACTGGCCCCCACTCGGACCTCTGAAAATAGTGTTGATGACCGCAGGTCGGTCCTCTCGTCGAGGCAGTGTTCTTGAACGCTTCCTCTCTTCTTTCTTTTCGACCGAGTTAGACCTCGGTTTGCCCACGAACTTTTTGAAGTAGCCATCTTGAATGAGGTCTTCAATCTGGCGCTTCAGCTCCCAGCGACTTGTCGTGTTATGGCCGTGATCGCGATGAAAACGGCAGTATTTATCTTTGTTGCGCTTCTCTGGGTCTCCTTGGAGCTTTTTAGGTCACTTGAGGAGCTTTTCCATCCCGCTTTCCTCGATGTTCGTGAGTATCTCGGAGATGGAGATGGTGGTTGGGGTATACCGTTCATAAGGTCGGCTCCGGCTGGGGCCGCTCTCCGACCTACGGTACTCTGTTCTGCTGGCGGAAGAGGACGATCCCTTATCTCTAGATTTGGAATCAGCCTCCCTCTTCTCTTGGTTCAATTTCTTCTGGTCGATCTGCTTCTCAGGTCGGCCAGTTTTGGTTCGGAGGAGCTCTTGTCCATCAATGACTTTCTTTGCCTTCTGTAGTACTTCGGCGAAGGTGGCTGGAGCCTCATCTCCAAGTTTTACGGTTAAGGTCTCGTCGGCCAGGCCGGTGAGGAAGTAGCACATGGCCGAATCATCGGAGTAGTGCACGACCTTCAGCTGCTCCTCCTGGAACCTTGTGACATACTCTCTCAGCGTCTCACCTTCCTCTGTCTGATGGTGGCGATGTGAGTCGCTGTTTTTCTATCGTAATGCCGAGAAGAGAATTGGCTGATGAATTCCTTTCTCAGCTGAGAGTAGGTCGAGATTGACCTAGCCGGCAGTCTCCGGTACCACAGGCGCGCACTGCCGAAAAGCACGATCTGGAAGGCGCGGCATTTTATTGCATTTGTTGCCGCTTGAAAGTCCATGAGGCCCTCGAAGACCTCGACATAGTCCTTTGGGTCCTTAGACCCATCATAAGGTTTTATTGTGGGAGTTTTGAACTTCGGAAGGATTGGAGCCTCCAAGATGTCCGAGGTGAATGGCGATTCTCCCAAGTCGCCATCGTCGAACGAGCACTCTTTCTTCTCGCACCTGGCCTTAAGCACCTCGACCTGCTCATCGAACTTGTGCTTCATCAGGTCGAACTCTTCCCTGGTGATCACAGCTTCTGGTGTCAGAGGCTTGTATTTTGATTGAGCCTTTAGGTTCGAATTCGAGAACTCTCGAGAGTAGGAAGGAGAGTCTTCCGGCTCCCGAGATGCTCTCTTCTTCTTTTCAGTGAGATACTTTCTCAGATCGTTATCCCGTAAGCTGTAATCCACTCCTTCATCGTTGGGAATGGGCTCGCGGTCGCTAGGTTGGATAGATGGAGCTCCCTTCTCACCAGGTGCGCCCGGGACCCTAGAGGGAGACACAGTTCGGTTAGCACGCGTTGCCTCGGCGTACATTTCTTCCATTGTGCGCAACCGATGACGCATATCATCCAACTCGCACTGGAGAGTAGACAAAGCTTCAGGGTCTGCTGCCTGGTTGGCCCTTTGGGAGGTCTTTCTCGAGGTCCCACCTCGGCCTCG